CTGGCGAAGCCTATTCAGGGCCCGCAGGACATCGAACTGGAACTGGAGGTCAAGCTATACCACGGCGGCACATACGGGGGCTCCGCGAAGGCTATACTCTACATATATGTCACGGAATATAGCTTTTAATGCCATCGTCTTCGAGAGTGGTTTTGTGGTCTAATGATCATAAGAAATGTGTTTTAAAATGTGTATTCATTTGTAGATTTATTTGTCAATATATTGCATAAAATACTTACTCTTCTAATACTCAAACACTTTGCGTCAAAATCTGTTGACAATCCGCGCGCTTCAGGAGTGCCGCAAAATCCCGTGGAGTCCGCCCCTTACTGTCCGTGAGGTGAGTGTCGGCGCCGAACTCCAGGAGCAGTCGTATGGCCTCAATGTGTCCCTCTTTGACGGCTAAGTGTAGTGGCGTTAAGTGGCCGACACTTGTCACGCAATTCACGTCAAACTTGTGGTCATTCACCAAATACTTGATGGCATCGACGGCATTGGTCTCACAGCTTAAGTGCAGACCATTGCGACCCAATTTGTCCGCAAGACGCGCGTCGATGGCGTGCTTTCGCACCAATAGTCTACTGATATCCACGCAATCATTCCTCAGCGACTCCATGAACGGAGTGATACCACAGGAGTCTCGCTCATCGCACCCGTAGCCGCAGTTGTCTAACAGGAAGTCCACCACTCGGTGGTGACTGCAGAGGCACGCCGTATGTAAAGGAGTTCTCGCGGTACGACTTCTGGTGTCCGCGACACGACTATCGCGCGCGAAGAGGTATTGGATTTGTGGTAAACATCCACTCCTGACGGCTATATGAAAGCCATTCCAGCCGTCTTTGTTCTTCAGCGTGAGATCCGCTCCGCTGTCCACCAATAGGCGGATGACATCCATGTTGTTGTCTTTGGTTAAGGCCATCATCAGTGGCGTCCAATCGGATCGGTTCAGCGGATCCACGACTATCTGCGGACACCTCAGCAGCCGTTCAGCGCATAAGAAGTGCCGGTTTTGGGCACTCATATGAAGAGCACTCTTCCCCTCTCGGTTCGTCTGATTGACGTCCAACTGATCCATGGGTTGAGATAATAGATGGTCTAAGACTCGGATGGCGTTAAACAGTGAACACAAATGCAATGAACTATCCATTGATTTCTCATTCAAACACTCGTGCAATGAATGCAAACCATTTGATAGCCTCTGAAATGCGGGCAAATTGTCGTCAATTATAGCTTTCATTAAATCGCTTTTCATTTGTTTAGTCATTATTTGGAGAAATAGTTTTAATTATGATTTAAAAGACAATTAAATTAAAAGTCTTATTGTGTTTGTGGTCACAAAACGCAACCTTTGAGTCATATGTTTGTCACGTGTGTTAGTATTGCACATACAATACGTAAACACATGAACGCAATGCACTTTTGTGGGCAAAAACTTTTTTGCGGCTATTATTGCCTACAAATGAGTGCAAATTATGCAATGAATCGGTTTTCACACACAAATAAAAGTGATTATAACCGCAAAAATGCGGAATCAATCGCCAATGAGACTCGTGAACTCAAAAAAGTTTTTAACCCCGAGTTTTCACAACACACACACAAATCATACGATAAGTATTTTTGATGTCAAACTTGTCGTGCAATTGAATTGAAAAACTTTTTCCAATGCATTGAGTGCTACGCGAGTCACGTGACACTCACTCGCACACTGTCTGAGACTGCGAGAGCCATACGTGACGTAACCCTAAGCCTATGGTTTCGTCACACAAACGACTCGTCCATACATTTCTATACAAATATACTATTCATAGGCTTTCTGTGCATTACTTATGCATATCGACTGCAATGTGCACTCAATTTCATTAGCCATTCAATCGCATGTGTAATACACGACCAGCTATTGAATCATTGAATTAATTGTGAAATTAATTTATTTATTTGTATAAATTGAACTCGATCGTATTCATTACATTACATTTCATAGTGGGAGTGTAATATCAGTGCAAACACACCTTTCCCTTGTTAGAGCACTGGTAGTTTGATTTGTGTGTGTTTTTAGTGTGAGTTTTTGTATTTATATTTTTGGTTATCATTTGATCGCTGAAGACATCCACTGTTTACTGAATCCATTTGTATTGCATTTTATAGTTTGCCATTAAGTAGACATCCATTTGAATTGGTGACACCATTTGATAATATCGTTGACATCACACGTCTGGAGATATCATAATGTCTCAGAAGGTATTCAAAGGCAAAGCGCATCCCATTACCACCGATTACCGCATATCGGATAAAGTGTTGGGTTTGGGTATCAACGGGAAGGTAGTCGAGTGCCACCATAAGACCAATGGACACAAGTACGCCCTCAAGGTATGGATCAGCTAATGATAATATACCTGT